CGATACCCTCTTGCAAATTTCGCACGTTGCTACATCTTTCTACAACACACTTAGTCGGCATATTTTCGAGAAATATCGATGACAACCTTCCCAAACAAGTGAAAATGCGTCAAATGCAGACCTTCGTCTTCTCGATTTGACGTCACATTACCCGCTGGAGCCATTCCTCTTTAAACTCGGTCGTAGGCCGATTTTCCGTATTTTGACTGGGCACAGAAAATTGAAGATTTGAGCAAATAAAAAAATCTTTGCACAGAAATACTCCAAAAAATACGCTTATTTTGCTAAGCAAAAAAAATTTTTGGGTTTAGGTGCACTTTAAACCTGTGGTTAGGGTTTGGGTTGCTGTAATCACTTGAGTTTCATTGACCTTTTTCCAGTATCTTGATGTTAGGGCTACAGTTGGGTTAGGGCTACAGTCAGGTTATTGTTACAGTTCGGATAGGGTTAGGGTTAGGGTTAGCACAAGTCAAGTGATAAGCATTCTCATTGCCTTCTAGCACCTGGGGGTAAGTGGCCAGATGGCACTGGTCTTGTTTAAACCAAAACATTTTGCACTAACCTGATAATTTCAAAACTGTTCCTTGCACTTTGTGTTTTAATCCCAAATTAAGCCCTGAGAGATTTTTGAATACTACCCTCCCCCTCTAAATCCCTATTCTTCAGGCTAGTTTCCTCTCGCAGCCGTTCTTTGTCTCGGGATCTCTGTGTCTCCCTTCCCACAAACGGCCGTTTGTGGGGAGGGAGACACAGGGATCCCGAGACGAAGAACGGCTGCGAGAGGAGACTATAGAACCTGCAATTAGCGGTCACCCCGTCATTTCCCTTGAGTGTTTGATAAGTGCCACTGTCGGGGGAGGAAGAGAGAAGACCCTGGGAGCGAGACTGGTTGGTTTTCACTTGTTGTCACGCAACAGAGCACAGCTTCTTCGTGCTTGACTTTTAAGAAGTGTACCTGAATTTAACGTTGCCGTTATTTTGCAGTAATCTGCTAAAAATTCCCAGCTGTAGCGACGACAACATACCTTATGCTTCGTGAGTAAAACTCAATCTCACTCGATCTGAACGAAACAGCGCGATCAACTGGGCTCAAAAGTTGATTGTTCTCCTATATATTGGTATCGACAGGGCTGAATAACGTCTGCGCATGTGCGAGATGTTTTTACAACAAGATCAAAATTTCGGCGCGAACGTGATGCGCGGTTCTTTCGTGTTCAGTTGAATAGCGACAAGAAAGGAGCAGAAAATCTTCCATTATTTTTGCGCCTAAACGCAAATATCTCCTTTTTATGCTTTGGAAAATGAAAATTTTAACAATCCGAAGTTTTTCCTCAAAGAAATGCCGAGAAATACGAGAAAAATTGTCGTTAACGCGGTAAATATTCTGAGCTTTGGAGACGCATTTGGATTCAACCGCCACGATGCGTTCTTCGTTTCGATTTACACTCGTCTGCTTCGTTTGAGAAAGAAATGATGTTTGAGAGACATTGATGGCAACATGAGAGTTTGGAAAAGTGTCGCCAGAGGTGAGTATTACGATCTTAGTTTGTTTTGTAATCAAAACGGCACCTTTCTTGCGCTAGTCGTAAGTTAATATTTATGTGAATACAATTAAACGCTCTGAGTTGTCGTGAAACATGAATGGCCAGAACCTGCATGCACTCGTAAGCTGACTCGCAAAACTTAAAGCTAAAAAAAAAAAATGCTGTCTCAAGGAACGTATTGTTGGCTACGTGTACCTATACACCACTGTACGTGCGCGTTATTGTTTTTCAAGATCACAATAACTTATTCCCAGGGGTTTAGTATATATACATTACTAATAAGTACTTACTGTTTCATTAAAAGAGAAATTGATTGAGAGTGGCTTTGTCTCACGTTCTTCTCCCTTCTCCCCTTTATTCCCACTAATTTCTCCTTTTTATTTCGTTTTTACCTTCTGCGCAGCCCTGCTGAGCCTTGAACCATTGCTCTTTAGTCAACACGTTATTACCAGCCTATTGCCTTAACCACTATGCTACACAAGTCAGTTAGGAGATATCTTCCAAAAATTACTCTTTGTTTTACCTTTCGCTGGAAAAAATTTTTATAACAATATGTGCATTGATATAATGCCCAAAAGATCCCCTTTGCACTAAAGAATGCATTTCTTCTTCTCTACGATTGGCCAAATACCACATAAAAAAAAGAAAATTATTCATGATATCACCGAGCCAGTCGCGCCATCGAAGGAAAGTAGATATTCGGTGGCATTTGCCGAGAAACCAAGGCCTTCTTCCTTGTTCCGGTAGAGTGTAGGGACAAAGATACACTATTGCCCATCATTCGCGCTCAAATATTGCCGGGGACACGCGTGATGAGCAACTTATGGAGAGCTTACAATTGCCGAAATGACGAGGGCTATGATCAACGCACAGTAAACCACAGCCTAAACTTCGTTGACCCAGACACTGGTGACCACACAAAGGGCATCGAAAATACATGCTGGGGAATCAAGCGAGGTTTGCCCCTAACAGGAACATCCAAAGGACTTTCGATGGCTACCCACAAGATTATATGAGGCGTCAGCACTACGGAAACGATCCCTTAAGAATCATTATCGAACATATCGCCTTCCTTTATGAAGGCCAGAAATACTAGATTAATAAAGGTTTCTTTACATCGCCGTATGCACCGGCCTTCGTGATCTACTTTCATCACTCGGACACGAATAGATTATGAAAGAATCAACCAAAACCACAAAAACAGGTAAGAAACAACATTTATTTAAACTTTGCATCGACAAACTTTACAGCCTGACGATAGCCTTGATATTATTTTCCGATCACCCATAAGCTTTCAACGCGAAACTGAACATTAAATTCTACTTCAAAATTAAAAACCTCTGGAAAATGCCTTAAATTTCTCGTTTTGCAAAGCCAAAACGCGCCGAATTTACCCTGTTTCAAAAAAGACAGAAAAAAAATCCAAATTTTGAAAACAAAGACTACTAGTCTCTGCGGAGTTTTATTGTTATCGCTGTAAGTTACAAAACGTTCTACAATTGTTTACTTTGTTTCTCGTGTTCAGTCCACGCGGGACTGGTACAATTACGTCATTGAAATTGTGGAATATTATGGGATAAACCATGTGCTCGTACTTGCAGAGGTCAAAAATTGGGTTTGGATGTGCGATTCTTTTCTCACTAGTTTATTCACTTATTCCTCGAGTCCACAAATCTTGTAAGTATGTTTTACTGTAGTTTACATTTGTTTCCTTTTTGGTACAGTTAAACCAGAACTTTGTTAAATAAAGGATTATTCGAATATTCAAGTCTACATTTGGTATTGTTTTCTTTGAACAAAGACTGAATGCATAATTAATGTATGGGGTTATATGGTACCTCTTGCCCTTTTTTACTAAGTTTGCTTATCTTACTCGATCGATAAATTCCATTATTTGGATGAGACACATGTCACTGTTCCTCAATTATGAGGTATGTTGTTAATATATTAATTGTCTTAAACCATAAAAGCAATTCAAACGTTGCATCGCTTGGGGCCATTGCCACAACTGCTCCACTTGTCCCATGGTAATGGCTGTCAAACACTGTTATTCCATTCTGTGTTCGGATGAATGCCACTGTTCTGCCATTGATAATGAAGATACATGCCGTCTTGGAATTGTTCAGCTGGGCTTGGTTTAAGTAGTACGGCAGGCTTGCTGCTGGAGTCTGCTCTCTGATGATAATGGCTGGCAACTGTGTAGAGACTTCAGTGCTTTCAAGAGCTTTTGTTTGCTCCATTTTAGTTGCTGCTTCCCGTACACCATACGGCTGCCCACCACAGTTTCCTGCAGCCTTGTCATAAAATTGGTTGCCAAGCATGATAACTGCAAGAACTCTGTAAATCCAGATGTTGCTTAGTGACCTGCTGCTGTCCAGAGGTTCGGGTGAGCTAAAGTATAATTTACTTTATGTGAGGGCAATAAATGTGCCTGCATTACTGCCTAGTCAGCCAATTAAAGCTGATTGTGAATATTCAGGTGGGAAATGCCAGCTTGTAATTCTGTTGGACTTGGTAGGACTTATAGATAGTTGCTGGACAGCGGAGCTAGTTTGGACCACTGAGGACTGAGACAGGGTGTGTGCATATGAGGGTAGAGCATTAGGGTGTTGTGGTTGATCAATCTCTCCAATAGCTGAGAGGCTGCTATTGAATTTCTGTTCCCAGAGTCCAGAGGTGTAGTACTGCTCTGCAGTTGCATTTCCTGTTTCACTGTTCACCACAGTTGCTGTGTCATCTTCAGTTTCGAAGTCACTTGATTCACCATCTGATTCTGTACCTCCATTTTTCAAAAGTCCTTCATTAAACAGAGAGACTTTATTCTTTATCAATTTTTCCAAAGGTTCTTTGCATATACTGCAGCAGCCATCACTTGATAAACAGCACACATGGAACGTGTGGTAACAGGCAAGGCGAACAAAGTTACCACCATAATGATTGTTGTTGCAGTCAGGTAGGTCACAGGAAACTTGCGGATTTGGCTCTTTTCCCAGGGTTTTACTTAGGTTGTAAGACAGCATAAAACACTTGGTTTCAGCTTTGATACCATATGATGGAAAATCGAACTTTGGCCAACTTTTAGCTTTACTATTGCTGTAACAATCACTTGGAATCTGGAATACACAAGAATAAATTCCTCTTTTAGGTCAGTATTTGTGAAACCATGTTTTGATTATTACAAGGGTTCATTTGTTATTGGATCTCTTTTTATTAAATTCTAGACTTGCTTAAAACAATTTCATATGAAGTTACAAAGTGCATTTTTACCATTTTGTCACATTTTTGTGAGACTTTTTTTATCTTTCATTCCCAAAAGACCCTTTGCATTTAAAATTAGTGATACTCACCACACGGGCTTTCTTGTTGTTTTTTGCTATTTCTGAAAACAATTGTAGGATAAATTCTGCCGATTTGCCTGCAATCTGCCAGAAGTTAAAATTTGATTTTCCGCTCTTT